TGAAACTAATAAAATTTAATAATTAAAAAAAAAACACGCCTGGAAGCAAGAGTAGCATCCACTTCTGAAATAACTTGCCTCGGGGAAACTCTGTGAAAGTGGAGAAATGATTAAAGTTATACAAATGTTCAGGTCTATCGCTCATAGGGTCCTATGAGTCGTCTATGACTCAATGGCACTTAACAACAATCCCACAGGAGATTGCCCATCCTCCTCCCATGGAACATCTGGTGGATTCGAACCCCGTGCCTTGAGGAATGCAGTGTAGCTTCTCGCCACCAAGCCACCAGAGCTCCATCATATGGTATATCCTGAATTATTTCAGTGTGGACAATTCTTTTGGTACAAAGATTTTTGAGTACTAAAGGGGAAAAAATGTAAAGAAAAGATTTACCATGTTTACATTTTCTTAGCAGGGACAGTATGTTCACATGGTGTTACAAAGGTGACATATCCACAGACAAAATTTTCATTCGGGAATCTGTAACTCATGGGGAAAGCTCAAGAGTTTACTCAGGTTGGAATTAGAAGTAAACGGGAAGTTCTCTTACTTTGTTTACTGCAACATGAATAGTGTCTTTGTCACTGGTTGGTGTTTTGTTTTTTGCACACTTCTTACTACAGTACAGGGGCCGCCTCATTTTCGTTTCTACAGCTATAAACTACTAGAAGTCAGGGACTGTTCAGGTCTCCCATATTATGTTATCTCATACCGGTGTATTTTAGGCATACAAGAAATACTGGGATGAATGTGATGCATTTCCTTTCTCCGTATTTATGGATGGCTTTTAGGTACAGGACTGCAATAAGCTTCCCGTTGTGATCCTTTTTTCTAACTCTTAATTAGAGCACTCGCAACTGGGGCATTCCCTTAGCTGCCTGGACCCAAACAAACTAAAAAAGGGATTTTACTTCCACGTAAACATTTTTTGAAAGTAGGAGAAGGATCTGTGAAAGCAAACCATCACGTGAGTATCAAGGTTAGTCACTCCCGGATGAATGAAAACAAGGTCCTCGCGTCTGGGAGCTGTTCCAGAGAGAGGCAGTTTTTACACTACCACGTAACACCACCTCCTTACAAATTGGTTCTGGGGTCCATATGAACGTCCGGAGTCCTACCCCCAAATCTGCAGTAACGGGATCCCCTCACGGAATGGTTAAGCTCCGGGTGGCAAAGCGGAGCAATTTGGAAATCAGTAACACAAGTAAAAGCAGGCGCAACATGGAGAGGCAAAAGCTATTTAGGCATCCGGTTACAACCCCAGAGCCTCCACCCTGTCCCCTGGGCCCAAAGCTCAGACGGTTCCCGGTTCACAGCACCGCGGCTCCCTCCACGTGTCCTCTCTTCCCAGCAGCCTCCTCTGCAGCCTGGGGAGGAAAACCCTCCAGACAACTCGCGATCTTAGGACTACGACTCCCAGGAGGCACCGCGCCATCCTTCTCTCCACCTCCTCCGGGGGCACGCAGGCGCTCTGGACCCCGTCAACAAGCCGGGTTGGCGACGACTTGGTGAAGTGCCTGAAGGGATTTGTAGTCTTTCCGGTGCCGGAGGGGTAGTCAGTCGTAAGAACGAGAACTACAAGTCTCGGCGGCCGCAGCGTGACGGGTCGTCACGTGGCAGGGGGCCGACCGGACGTGCTTGCCGCCGTTGATCCGGTGCTGCAGTGAGGAGGTGGTTCTCGCCCGTGTTGTGTGAGTGAGCGAGTGAGTGAGTGAGTGAGTGAGTGTGTGAGTGTGTGTGTGTGGGGACTCGGCTTGTTGTTGTCGGTGACTTCCCCCTCCCTTCCACCCCTCCCCTTTCCCCGCCGCTGCTGCAGTGGCCGCTCCCTGGGCCATAGGAAATGAGCGATAACGATGACATCGAGGTGGAGAGCGACGTGAGTCCCGGGGCTTCTTCCTTCCCGTGCGGGTTGTCAGGCGGGGACAGTGGCCGGGACTCTCTGCGGGGCGACGGTGGGAGGGGGCCGGGCTGCTGCCGCCTCCGTCCCCCTTCTCTCCGGGGCCAGACAGCTTCGGTCGTGCTCCTGGCTTGCTCCCTTCTCGGCTCCCGACTGGAGCGGCCTCCTGGGACTGGAGGTGGGGAAGAGACACGCGGCCTCTGGGACCCCACCTCCTGCGTGGAGGCGGGTGCTGCGACCGCCCGGCTCCCACCCTATCGTGCTTAGGATCCTGAGGACAGGGATGGGGTATGCCCAGGATCCCATTGTCCTGATCCTGGGGAAAGGGACGGCGCTCAGGACCTGCTCTCTCGGTCCATGGTCCCTTTTCCCCATGACCTGCGGATCCTGAGAGGTGAGGGAGGGCAGAAAGGAGTTAGGAGTGTCCAGAACCCAGCGCGGGGTTCGGGGGAAGGAGGCTCACAAACCCCTCTGGCCCCGGCCGGGTCCCGGGAGGAGGCGCGGCGCTCAGGACCCCCACGCCCGGCTGCCGGATCCGCAGGGGGGTGGGAGTATGGGGTGGGGAGGGAGGAGGGTCGGATTGACTGCCCACCCGCCGCTTCCTCCGCCGCCGGCATTTTCTTTCTAATTATTGAATATGAAGTGTAAAAATAACTTCTATCTTTTCTATTTTTTTTCTCTCTCTTATTTCAGGAAGAGCAACCGAGGTTTCAGTCTCCGGTACGTCTCCTACTCTCCATTTCATTTTCATTTCCGTTCAGTTTTAGTACTTTTGGGAGTCAGGACAAAACGAGACCGGTCTGTTATTTTTAATACTGTAGTTGACTCTCCTGTTAATCCCTCCGATGAGGTGGGACTTTGTTTCGATAGTCGTGGTGTGGGAACGCGAGAGTTGCAAATCGCAATTCTGGATTCTCAGGTGGTGGGTTCCGGCGACTGCAAGTGGGCGTTGTCTCGATCCAGTAGTTTTCAGATGGAACAGCTAGCTAGCTACAGCTGTATAAGCAGGGAATGACAAATAAAACATTATGAAGAAAATTGCAGCATTGTTTCAGGCCTCTATGGCCAGAAGATTTAGAACAAGTAGGTTCTAAGCAGTGTTTGCATGTGAAACAGAAGCCACATGCAGTACCTTTAACAAAAAATCATGTGACTTCTGTCGACCCGTAGAATCTGGCACATGATATTCTAGTGCAGAAATTGAAAATGAAGAGGAGCCAAAGGTTGACTGGGAAAAGTGTTGTCACGTGCAGTTTATTGTAGTCTGACTCTGTTTGATTTGAAGAAAAATAATTTTTTAAAAAAGAATAGGGATGTTGTTGCAGTGGCATTGAAGAGATAGGCTTAGTAAAAAATGATAAGGCTGTACAGTGTTAGTCAAGAACACTGTTTCTTTGGGGTTTGATGATTCTTAGTTGATGATTCTGTAGATGGTTTTGTGGATTGAGTAGACTATTTTCAAATCTTTGGATCTTGGGGCAGTACCATAAGTGTTCTGTGTGTAACGGGAGAGAAGGGATTAAACAACAAATCATAAAAAGGAAAGTGGAGAGAAATGTAGCAAGAGTGTCTAATATTTGACAGCTGTGAAGAAGGGTATGGGCTAGAAATTGAGGCTAGGCAGTAAAATAGGTTGAAATAGGAAGAAATGAGGACTGGGGTCCTGGGAACCCATGTCTCTTCTAAAAAGGTAACTCCTTCTCCATGAAGTAACTTACTACTATGTGGAAGTGAACGGTCAGTGCTGCCAGATTTCCTAGTTGGTTGGTTGGTTTTGTTTAAGAACAATTGAGGATCCATATTTTCTCGTGGTTCTCATTTTTTTTAAGCAATGTATGGAACAGTCAAGCTGTTTAGAGGCTGGTGAGAGTTTGCAGGGTGCCACTTTCTTTGATAGCTTTAGTATAAGCATTTCCTTACCACAGGATAAAGGCAAGCACTCTTGTACATGTTCTTCATTAGAGTGAGCAAAGATTCTGTAGTGATCCAATCAGATGGGCTTTATGAAAAGCTTTGCTTTTAAAAACGATTCTTTCCATAAAAAGCCAAAGATCTAGTTGTCCCAGCGGACCTAGAAATTGACCCTGGAAAATAGTAACTGGGAGGTTGTTTTGCTTTATTTGTCTTTGAAGTATTGCCATGTACTTACAGTTGTACATTATTTGAACGGAATTCCTCTTTACTGTTACTACCCTAGCTATTGTAGAGTCTGTTTACATTAAGTAAAGTTTCATTTTAGGACCCATTCTCTTTAAAACATTTTCCCCCTTCATAGTCTCCTCCAGAATTATCTGCATGGGGGCCTGATCAGGTCTACTGGGTAGGGATTGGCCAGAGCTCTCATAGGCTTCCTTTGCAGAATTACCCTTTGAGTTGGAATTTTTTTTACTTTTCAGTGAGAGAAAAATTTTGTTTGTAAAATTTGTTCTTACAGTTCTTGAAAGCTTTCTGCTGTTCATAATATTTATCTGCATAGATATTGATGTAAATTGCTTCATTAAATTATTAAGCTATCTCCATTCTCTTAAAATCCAGATCTCATTGTTTTGCCTAGATTTTTAGTTTAGTTTTTTAGTTTGCTGTTAATGTGCTTAGGACTTTTCCCTTTGATTTTAGGGATAAGAGGCGTGGGCTTGACCTTTTTGTTTTTCATTTGGTATCTATTCACTAAGACTCTTAAAGATTACCTGGCAGAAGAAAATCACAGCAGCATAAAGAAAAATATGTCGTCTAATTTTATAGTATATCAAGTAATTACTGTGACTAAGTAAAGTAGAAAGGATCCCTTTATTTCCTTTGTAAATGCATCTCTTCGCTCACTGATACTCAGTATAGATTAAAAAATACAATTTTTTAAATGTTACTGTGATGGTTTGGAGAAGGCACTTCAGAAAAGAGTGTTCACTGTGAACAACCAAATTTTCAAGTTACTTGGAATAGGTTTTGTGGATCCTGATATAAGGGGAGAGAGTCATGTTTTATAACCTCTACAGTAAATGCAGCCTGCCTGCATGAGAAATGTAGAAGACTCAGCAAAAACAGAGTTAGGAAGTGAGGCAAACTGTAAGAGAAAGTGAAACTGTTTTGACGAATATTTTTTTTCTGTGCCTCAGTGCAGATGGAAAACAACTTCCTCGGCACCAGTAAGCTTTGTTAAAGGAAGTACCACCAAATAATATTTTTAGTAATAAGTTTGATACATCCCAATCCTGTTGATACTATTTTATTTCTTGGGGCGGGGGGAGGCTGTATTTTAAAGAAAAATTTCTGGGACAGGTATACTTTTTGGCCAGGAGTTTCTTTTTTTTTATTTCTGTTTGCGAAATTTGTTTTGGAAAGAGTAAAAGAAGCCCAAGGCTTTTTCGAGCATATTCTTTATCGCCCCTGAATGTGTTGGAGTATACTAGTTGGGGATTAAAAACAGATTAGTGCAGTCAATTTCTATTATGACATGCTTTTTAACTTCTCCAGTCTCTTAGCTTCTTTAGGAATTGTAGTATATATAGAAGAGAACAAACTCGATTTGCTTCTGAAATTGGAATCCATCCAGGAACTGAATGTCTCATTTACCTGCAGTTAGTTGCATGGCAAAGGTGCTGCATGATGCATGTACTTTGTTTAGACCGTTGATGTAAAAATGTCAGGTTTAGTTTCTGTGTATGCCTGTTTGGTGGAGTAAGAATAGTCTTATGTTTGAAAAAATCTTTTTATAAGTTGTCAGAGTGGTGGAAAAGGTGATCGAAGACCCTAAGTCAGTTAACAAATAAATTCCTGATAAAGAAGGCATCATTCCTCATGTTTTGATGATAATGTTGTCAAATGCTTTTAGGCACCATGGAACAGATACTGTCTAGCTAACAGACTTATTCATTGGGTGATATTGGGAATATATGGCCTCAAGTATGAGTACTAGGAAAATGAAATTACTAGTTTCTTCTTATAGTCCTTGGTTTATCTCATCTTGGCTGCTTGTTGTTTCATGTTGTAATTTTCATGCAGATGAAGATGTTCTAAGTTCTTAGATATCTTAGATATTTAGTTTATTTTTTGTAATTCTTAATTACCAGATGGATCTTTTTTGATGAGAATTTTGAGTTTATGTACTTCCAGTGTCAATGTGGTAGTTGTTTAATAAGAATAGTTTGATAATTATCCTAACAGTACTACTTCCTGTCTAGAATGAACTTTTCTTAAAGACTGTAAATGTTTGGTGGTCAATTCTGATTCTTTGTATGCTAAAAATACCAGGATTGAGATGATTCCAGCCTGGTGGAATTAGGTTTATGTAGCCTGCAAAAAATGTTGTTATGCTGAGAACCTTTGCATAATGAAGGATTTCTTTCCCATGTGTTTGCCTAGAACTTGCTGGAAATAAGGTTGATAAATGATGGAATACTTTGAATGAAAATGTATTCCTTTGCGCATTAAATTGAAAGGAAATAATTTAAAAAGATTTCCCTCAATTTTGAAAAAACTTCTTTTGCTAGAATGTCCTCCTGCCAATTTAGCAATGTCTTAGCTAACAAAATGACGTTTGCCTTCAACATTTAATGACACTTAAAATACATGCGCTAGTTAGTGTCAGAGATGGACAAATTGTAGGTAAGATTTTATTCTGGCTGCCAAGTAGAAAGTTGGTGGACCAAAAATTCACAGGCTGAATAGAAGAAACCTTAGCCGAGTCAGCCAAGCTGGAAGTGATTTGGTGCTGAAGTTCCTGCTGAGCATCTGTAGGCCTCTCTTTAGTATTACCCAGCCCCTGAGGATGCCCGAAGGAAGTGTTTTCTGGTAGAAACTGCAAATCTGGTGTACTTGAAGCTGCTGCCCTTCCTTACAGAATGTGTTCTTGAGGTATTGGGGACCTGCTGTACAGTGCAAGAATACCTTGTCTTCTAGCCTGAGTGCTTAATTTCACAAGACTGCTTTCAGTACTAACTACAATTTTCATTATTATCAAACATCTTTCGTGGTACAGAAAAGAGAACTTGTTCATCTGAGGTGAGCTTTATTTGTTACCTGATTTCTCCCTCGTTTTTGTTGTTGTTGTTGTTGTTGTTTTTGCTTTTAAATAATTTTTACTTTGGTTGAGTGGGTCCTCTCATTTGTCTCACACTGGGAATCTTCATCTAGTTTTCTTTCTCAGCTCTGAAATCTTGGCCCCTTGAAAAAGGGTTTCCAGTAAGTGAAGACCACTGACAAAGCAGTGATAAGACTAGCAAGTGGCTCTCCTTTTGAATGAAAGGAAGTTGGGAACAGTTGTTGTCAGACAGGAGGGATCTGTGATTTGGAAATATTTTCTCAAACAAATCTCAGGCTTGAGTTGTAAAAGATTTCAGTATGCTCTGTCAAGCTACTAAGGTGTGATTTCATTCTGATTTGCCTAAAATTAGACATGTGAGTTCTGCATATTTGTAACTTGCTTTCAGATGAGGGCAGAGGAGGAGAAAAATATCCAGTGGCTGATAACCTTTAAAATTGATTTGATGTAGCAGCTCAGGGATGGACATGGCAGCCGGATTCAGCTAAGATTTCACTCCTCTGCTAGTTAAATTGAACCTGGATCCGCCTCAGAAATTCCATCCACTACTTTGAGAACAGTTCCCAACCCAGGCTTTCTACCAGTCAGTAGACTGCAGCCTTTCCTTGTTGAGCCAACTTCTCAAACTTGGCCGACTTCCCCAGATGAGAAGCCAAGATTTCTTTCGATGGTCCACAGCCAAGTTCACTTAAAATCCTCAACCCAAAAGACTTGTCCATTTGAATCCTTTCAGTGCTCAGTGAATGGGAAGGCAGTGGTGCATTGTGGGGATGATTTTGGTGTTAGATTATGCCTTTGCTCCGCCCTTCTGGTGCAGGCCTGACTGAAACCAATTCCAACTTAATTCTGGCTGTTTGAGATTTGCAGAACTCTCTCAGAAAAGAAAACAGACACTTAGAATTTTATTTGTATCAACACAAGGGATTGTGGGTAACTCTCTGGTGTCATTGCTTCTGTGCACAGCTCTTCAGCTGGGAGGGTGGCCAGGAATGGGGTAATTTAGTAGACAGAAGTATCTTGGGCTGCTCCTGGAGACCAAAGCCGGCCTATTAACATGCATATAAATAAGCCATCTTAAGGGAGTATATATGTCCAACACAGGAGTGGCTGACACAAGCCAAATGTCATCCCTCAACATTCTAAGCGCTTTCTTTGTAATCCAAGTTAGAACCTGGCCTAATTTACCTGTGTGCAGATGACAAGAGGGAACTGTAAATTAGAAAAGGACAGGCTATTTAAATGTCTTTATTTTCTTCATACTTTATATTGCTACTTCAGAATGCTCTAGGAAGGCATCTGCCATTTCCTTCTATAAAATTGTATAATGCAGAGTAGCTCTCTAGCTTCCAGTTGTTTGTTGTTTCAAGTTTGATTTTCTTCTCTGTTTTTCTGTAATATTCCATATGTCATCATGGTTCTGCAAACACTCATATTTTGCAGTGAGTTCAGACTTGATAAAAAGAATTTTAGAAATGCTCCAGGCCTCTGCCTTGGAAAAGAGTGATACATGATAGAGAACAAGGTTGTGATGCAAAGCATGTGTCAGATTCAACAGAGCAGTTGGTGAGGTTACTTGAAAGAGCAGGAAGTAGCTTTCGTTTCCATAGCTGTATACTAGCCTCCTTGTCCTCTATAATGGCTCAGACGTTCAGTGTTAGATAATATGAGCATCTCAAGTCCTTTCATCCTGATCATTCTTGTAATAGTAGATTTTTGTTTGTAAATTTCAGGTAGTACAGGGATTCTTTTGAGATAACCATTATTCTCATACTAAGTTAATTACATTTGTTGCTTCACTTTTAAAATTTCTTGTGGTCTGGGTGGATTAAAGCTACCAATACTTCCTATATACAAACTTGCTCTTGAGGTAAACTTGGTCTTATATATTCAGCCTTATATATTCAGGGCGAATTTTCAGAGTTTCTTTCTTTATGTAACTTCCAAAATGTAGATGCTATTAAGTTCAAGTAAGTATTTGTCTTGCTTTTGGAAGCAGTACCCTTTAAAGGGGACCTGCCAAGCAGTCTTGCCATGTTCTCTGGCTCTGTCCTTTTTGCCTGAAGCTCTAGTGCATTTTGTCATTCTTGATTTTTGGCATTCTTCCTCCTCCAGCTGACTGTTCTTCTTAGTGGTTCCAAGCAGGACCAGAATAAAGATGTTGGTCTATAAGCATTTAGATAATGCCAAAAAAGTATAGCCTGCCGCAGGTGCTTGAGGAAGTTTATTCAGAACCTGTGGGTGTTAGAAGATCTGCCTTCTATGAACTGTGTCTTTATGGCACAGTCAGGATGAGGGGAACCCTTTGGCAGGATAGATAGCACTTTGGATCCACTTTAAAAAAAAAACAAAACAACAGCAACTCAGGAATGAAGTTGGCATCTTTATCAGCTCTGTTGTAGTGATCTCCAGTTCATGAATCTAGGTCTTCTAGCAGTTCCATTTCTGTTGTATAATTTGGCTAGAAGATGTTACCCTAGCACATATAGCTGGCTGGAAACCAGACACGGTGATAGGTTTCAGAAGGAAAGAAGCCGTGTACCAATGGCTGAGTTGATCCCTAGGTACCCACCTTGGGAATTCTCTTACAGTGGGGTTGATGACGTTCTATGAAGGGGCCTGCTGGAGCTTTCTGCTGGTCACCTGCCAGTCACAGACACATAAGTCAGTTGGGAGAAGGATTGGTGTTCAGGAAAGTCACATGCTGTCCCCATGAATAACTTTTATTTTACTTGTGCATGAGCTGTGCATCAAGCTACTTTGGATGTTCCTGTCACAAGCCTTCCTCACCCCTTTTCTTCCCCTTTAGGAGAGCCTAAATCTGGAGACTCTTAACTGCCAACTTCGACAAATCCTTCCCAGTCCAGTCACCAGGCATCACGTTGACAGCATACACTTCCAGGCTATACACCCTACGTGCCTTGTGCCAAGCGAAAGGAGTGACATTTCTAATGTGCTCTTTCTTCCATTCCTCTAGGCTGACAAACGGGCTCATCATAATGCACTGGAGCGGAAACGTAGGGACCACATCAAAGACAGCTTTCACAGTTTGCGGGACTCGGTCCCATCACTCCAAGGAGAGAAGGTGAGTTTATTTTAAAAGCTGATAAGCCGCCACTAGCTGGAAACTTGCTATAGGGCTTAGCAGGGTATTCACCTATTTGGAAAGAAATTTAATCAAGGATCTTTACATGGCATGGTTCTCATTTTTTTTTATTCTTGAATCACTTTAAAGACACGTCATGCAATCTGTTTTATTTTACCCTTAGCAAAGTATGTCAAATGTGCTAAAGCTGCTTATGAGACATTAATAGGAGTTACTCATGTAAAAAATGATAACTTGACCCTGGAGTATAGAGCATAGTCCATAGTGTGGGATAACACCAAGGAGTTCTAAGGTCGTTAATACACCAGACACACTTCCATGAGAATTTTCTTTCATATGGCTCAAAGTTTGTATCTATTTTAAACAAAAATTTACAGGAATGTTTGTGAACCATCTTGGACACTGATGATTTTCCAGTCCCAGGGAGTGTAAAGAGCATTTTAGACTTTGGGACAAGAAGCAATATGAAATAGAAAAAAATAATAACCATTCTTTGCCCTACTCTTCTCACTGATGGCCTTCCAGAAATTAGTACTTTTCCTGGAGGGCTAGGCTCCTGCTGTTTCTACATTTAAAAGCAAAGTTAGAAGCTTTGAGGCAAAGCCAGTGACTTAGAATTATGCCTTGGAATTTGGAGGAAACATCTGTTTGCATAGTTAGTTTCACCCTTGACACAAAATATAGCTGGCTGACCTCTATAGGAATTCAATGATAAACTGGGGGAAAGATCCGTATTTGGATCACTCTGTCAGTGATCTGAGGTTTAAACAAGCAGCCATTTTGTTACATAAAAATCTTTCCTCTCAGGTGTGCTTCCCGATTACTCTGTGGTAGAGTTCCTGCATTTGTTTGGTTATCCGCTGTCATATGTGGAACCATTATGATTTTATTTTGCTTGTACTTGTCACGTTTCACTCTTTTTATTTTATATAAGGTGTGGTTTTCCATGTGGCTACAGCATGAATTAGGTCTGGCCTTTCTTTATAAGAAAACAAAACAGACCATGTGACTACATAGAATTGCAAAACCAGCATTTGCTGTGGATTAAGCCTACTTACGGTGCCCTGGTGGTATGGTGGATTACATTTTCAGCTGCTAAGTAGATCCACAGTTCAAATTCACCAATGCTCCTGCAGGGGAGGATCAGACAAGCTGCTTCCATTAACATTTGTAGTCTTGGAAACCCAGTAGAGGGTCTTCAACAGTGGGTTTCAAATATTTTGTTTGTTTATCAACACCATTTAATGTCTTTGGACCAAGATATTTACCTTGCATAACAGCATTCCTGGGCTTAATACTGTCTAAGCACCTTTATGATGGGAAAAGAGACACACCTTTTGGTCACAGTACACACATGCAAAGGATTATCTGCTGCATTTGTCTGAATAGTTGACAGTTGGAGCTGTTCTCATACTATATATCAGTTAAAATAACCTTGATGAACTAAATGGACAAGTTGCCTTCTCCTAAGTCTCACATCTAAACAGATGAGGCCCACATCACAGTCCCTACTGAATGGGCCGTTTTGGGAAGCAGAATTGAGAATCTGTATAACCAGAAGTCAGAAGATCTTCTTAAGTTTGGGAGGACTTTGGGAGAGGCCCATCATAACTTTTTTCCTTATCTAGTATATTTTACACTGCCATATCATTCTTAAGTCCTTACACTCATTTTTATCCAGAATTCTATGCTGTGTCTCCTTCCTTTCTTTAAGGAAGTTGAAAGTTTGAATTTGGTAGCCATACAAACAGAATAATTGGTCATTTGTTCTGGCCCTTTCAAGCCTTCTATATGCCAGGCACTTTTCAAAGATAGTGAAGTATCACAGTTAATAAAACAAAGATGCTCTTATTCTTATGAAGAAAGATAAGAAATAAACTAGGAAGTGAAAAATTCTTTATAGGAGGTTATGTAAAAGATAGGTAGAAAAATTTAATAGCAAAATTATTTTAGTTACTGTTGCATACAGGCAAGTCAGAACCAACTCATAGCTGACCCTACAGCAGGTTTTAAGAGGCATTAAATCACATAAGAGGAGATTGCCCATTTTTCTCCCCTGGAGCAGCTGTACTTTGGGTTGGTAGTCCAGTTTCTTAGCACTAAGCTTCGAGTTCCCTTAATAGCAAAAAGTAGCTTGTAATTTTTAACTCAGCCAAATATTTCTCTGAGAGGTGACATTTGAGCAAAGATTTTGAAGAAATAAAGGAAAGAATCATACATTTTCCTGAATTGCTCAACATCCAGGGTAAAAGCAGTTAAGAAATCAGTAGATATGTGGGAAAATCTTCTGTCAAGAATCTCCAAAGTTCTAAAGAGCAAGGATCTCCATTTACAAACTAAGGGTCTTTTCACTTCTTAGTCATCTGAAAGTTGAACAGTGAATAAGGAAGAAAAATTTATAGCTTTGAGTTGTATTGTTAAAGAGTACTAAATATCCTGTGAACTGCCAAAAGAACAAATCTGTCTTGGAGGAAGTACAAAGGGAATATTCCTTAGAGGCAAACATGCTGAAGCTTCATCTAGTATACGTAAAGCATCTTGTCAGGAGGGGCCAGTCTTGGGAAAAAGGCATAATTCAGGGGAAAGTGGGCAGTCAGAGGAAGACCCCTAACAAGATAGATTAATACAGTAATTGTAGCAATGGGCTCAAGCATATCAGAGATTGTGAGGATGGTACAGGATAGGGTAAGGTTCGATCTGTTGTTCATATGGTTGCTGTGAATCAGAGCTGACTCGATGGCACATAACAACAAAGGAAAGAACTGTGCATTTATCTGATGATAGAGAAGGCAAGTGTAATAACCTTGAGACAAGAACATGAATCATTCCTGACTGTTGAAGGGAAACAGAATGGCCAGCTGGTTGGAATAGAATGAGTGAAGGGAAGGTGGCAGGGGATAAGATGAGAAGAATTTTAGAGTTGGAGAGAGGCCGTTGGAGGGCTTAAGAGAAGGCACGTCTTAAATAGCCAGTCAGCAAAGTTTGGTTTCACTCAGTATCGTTCTAACAGCTCCCATGTGATTTACAACCTCAAACCTAATTGAGGGTCAGCAGGAGCTCTGGTGGAATAATTGGTTGTGTGTCTCACTGTTAACAAAGGTCATCAGTTTGAATCCACCAGGTACTCTACTGAAGAAAGATGGGCATTCAGTATGTTTAGGGAGATTTTAATTTTTAACAGCAAGGAGCTTAGGTAGTGTAGTCCATAGTGTATTGGAAGTGCTAACCAAAAGGTCATGCAGTTCAAATCCACTAGCAACTCCCAAGGAAGAGAGATGGGCAGTCTCCTCTCATTAAGATCCACAGCCTCAGAAACCCAGTGAAGGGCTGCTGTGAGTCAGAACACTCCGTGGCAGTCACTTTTATTCCCACAATGAACTGGAACAAGTCACACAGAGAAGGGGAGGTTGGTCCAGTTCTTGCAGGGTTTTGTTCTTTTGTATGTAGAGTCGCTGAGAGTTGGCTCTGACTAGATAGCATCTAGCAACAGTTCTACTTTAAGAAACCATAGTGGCATAGTTTATCAGGCTGCTAACTTAAAGATCAGCAGTTCAAATCCACCAGCCACTCCCCTGGGGAAGGATGGACAGTCTCTTCCTATAAAATTTACAGCCTCTGGAAACCTGTTGGAGGGACTCAGCAGGGGTGGGTTTATTCTGACAATGTAATCCACCTGGCCTGTGTCATAGATGCCACATTCTTCACACTGAGAGTGAATAAGGGAAATGGCTTTTAAACTCCAGCCCCTTCCCATCTAAGACCTCTGTCTTTATTATGGACACCTTTTCACAGCTACACTGAGTATTTATAAAATACTTTGCCTCCCTTAGGCTTATGAATTCTTACTAAATGCTGCAATTTTTTAAATGCAGTATTTAAACCAAAGGAAATTGGGTCATACCAATTTGGGTTGCAATAATTAAGGTTGTGACACTAAGTAAATAATCACAAAATGAGAATTTTACAGTTTGAGGAACTTCGAGCTGATTCTTATAGCAGAGACCTCCAAGCTCATGGGACTTGAGCATCTTGACGTTCCCAGTAACTTATAACTTAGCATTTAAATTCTCTCTTGTGTGTGCTGAAAAAGGAAACCTACTGATGACCTAGGGCACTCTGGGGCCTAGTCCATAGTCAGTTACACTGCTAACCCACATGGCACCCTCCTTGGTGATTCCAGTCACCAGTAGATGTAAGGGAGAAAGATTGGCTGTGTATTTATTCCTGCTTGATATACAGCCTTGGGAACCCAATGGAAGATCAGCTATGAGCTCACTGAGAGCAATAAGTTGAATTTTTGAATGTTGATTAAGTTATCTTAATCAAAAATGGAGATCCTTTCAAAAAAAAGTAGCTGTAAATAGGAGATCTAGAGCCCGTTTTTCTTCTAAGTTTTTTTTTTGTTTAAATTATAAGATAAACATCCTAAAGCATGGTCACATTTTACTTAAGAAAAACTAAATTACTACCTTAAAGAAACCATAACTGCCACCCAAGCAGATATATGCACACCCATGTTTATTGTGGCTTTATTCATAATAGCAAAGAGCTGGAAACAACCCAAGTGCCCATCAACAAACAAATTAATAGAGAAGCTCTGGTATATTTACACTGTTGAATACTATGCAGCATTGAAAAACAAGGAACTCATGAAATATGCAAAATAGATGACCCTGGAAGACATTACACTGAGTGAAATATCTCAGTCACAAAAGGGCAAATATTGCATAGGACCACTGTTGTAAAATGGGACTGACATCGCGGTTGAGAGAAGACAGAGAAGTAGGGGAGGAATGATGTTTACTGCATTGAAACAGATGAGAGATAAAACTGTTTAAAAGGGATATATGATGTATGTACTATTGTCATGACAGGAGTCCAGAATGAAGTCTGCATAGTGGAGTGGACTTCATGGGAGGGACTGCATAACTTTTCAAGGAGAAGAGTAAATTGGGGGTAGGAGGGAGGACAGGGAGAAA